CTCTTTTATAAAGAAAGAGAAATTATTCTCTGCCTTTTTTGTGCTAAAAGTACATTAGATAACTTTGAGAAAAATGTAATCATCGACTTTATAAAATATTGAATAGGTTTACTTTGGATAACGTACGCATTATCCTAAAACATACTAAAATAATTTCCAATTAATGAAACTTTTAAAATATTTGTTTGGTCGTTTTTTTGCATTAAAGGTGTAAAGTAAGTTACAATAAACCCAATATAGTTGTAAAGAAGTATTTAGAAATCAAGTAATTTTTTGTAACTATATATATACATGTAGTATTAAAAGGTCTGGCTTCAAATACCAGTTTCTAGTATGACTCAGTAAACCATTGGATGCCCCTTTTTCAATTATTCTAGCTGATAAAATCTGTCGAAAATGCCTGAATGGGTTATTTGATATAAAATGTTATAGTGTTGAACGGCAACGCGCAAGGGGCCTTGTTGTTCTTCCCACCCTTGCCAGACCCCCAGTCTTTCACCACGAACAAGGTGTACTAGTGAATAAAAATATAATCAACGTGCAATGCTGAGTAGTCAGCGGCGGTGGGATGTGATTTTTAACAGGGATACTATGATACATGTATATTAAAGTCTTCAAATAGAGAGTTGTTTACGACATGTTGACAGATATTTTATTTGTGGTAGGGGGCGCGGGGTGAATGATGATGAAAGAGAATACATCGTGTATCATTAACTTCAATAGTTTCCAAGCTTTATCAACCTCAGTGCATTTTTGCACTTTCATATGTTGTAATAGCGTTAAGCGATAAGTGGTTGCAATTAAAATTCAAAAGTCAAAACACAAAAGTCTGTCAGCTGGGCCAGTCGCCTGTCGTGACATTTGGCTTCTCTTGTTTAGATGATCATTACTTTAGTTTCTATCAAGCATAGTTTCGACAAAATGTTGATGTGCAGTGTTAAGGGATTTGCCCACAATATGATAAGCAGTTAGACTCGAGTGTGGTGTTGAAATATTTTTATTGTAGCAATGCCTTTATTCTTTCGTAAAAAAATTGTTTTATTCGTCCATGACGTACAAGAATATATGCCACATCTGACTCTTATCACTTGAAATTCTAGTACATGATATTTTTGTTTATACTGACAAACAAAAACAGTTCAACCTAATGACGTCAGCTAATGTCACAAAGGCATTTAGTTTTACCCTTGATTTTGATAGCGACTGTGACCGTGAGGTCCGTCAGATATTACAAGAGTCTGGAATGGTTCTTCAAATCTTTAATACTGGAAACTTATAATAGTATTTATCTACATACACTTACAGGACTGCGGATAACCGACTAGTACCTAATGCTACTAAGTCGGATAGACCTAAAAGACTAACGTATCAAGTACAATAACATATTTATATGGAATTACTTCTAACCACTTGTCGAGATCAAGTGTTGACATAAACTAGCACTGATGCAACAATTTACAATATAAGAAATAAAACAATGGTAAATAAAACAATTAAACACTCAATATGCAGGAGCTAAATCTGCCTATTGTGGGTCTTTCTTTAGGCCTGAAATGTTATATAAACTATTACTTAGACATTTATTAACAAAACAAGACCATAATCACACTCTCCATGACATCAGATAGTCGATTTTTTACTAGATTAGAACAGTTCGCCATTTAAAAATTTAATTTAAAAATGGGAAAGCGAGGCTTAAATCTCGAATATACCAGTGCCCTGGGTATCACTAGCCACACATCTTGTTAAAACTAAAAACAGTGATAAATTGGCTCAGAATGAAATTATTTGAATGATATTTTCAATATTTTCATTTTACCTGATCTAATTTTTTAGCTATTATAGCAAGAATTGTCAGCTCTTTATCTAAATCTTACATAATGTATCTTTAATAGATTAATCATACCATTGGCATCACCAGACAGGCCATATTGGCATTTACTTTCTATCTATAACAGTTTTATAAACAATAAGGGATTATAATAAATTAACATGTCATTAGAATTACATTTCGCCCTTGGATATAGTCACCTTTCAATAGCACACACACACACGCACACACACGCATACACACATAATGTTTTGAAGAAATAGAATAATTATTGTCCTTAAGAGTTTACATTTATACAGAATTGTATACAGAATTCAATTTGTTGACATTCCTTCGTATATCCTCCTTGTTCACTATTTCTAATATACACACGCATTATATTGATTAGCAATTTAATTTATAAACTGAAATTAGGGAATATATTCTTGAGCACAGAACTATTATTGTACAGTTGTAACTACCAAATTTTTTTTACGGGTACATCCTCCAGATATGGTATAAAACCGCCGTAGAATTCTGGGTCTTCCTTGTATATTTTATCAATCCACTCCCATTGGTAGTGGGAATATACTCTATACTGTAGAGTATCCTCCAGAAAAACACGTCTTTCTGACAGATAATATGCTATACCTGTTTTTGGATCACGGTAGCGTGCGCGCAATTTCCATCGTCTTCCATCTCGGTGACCTTCAAAATCACTTAGTCTGTCCCATGCCATTTGATCTCGTTCCTCTGGTAATAATAAATAGCTTTGGCGAACTGCATTTCTATCCACTTCGGTTACGGGTCCGGGAATTTTGTTTTTATGGATCTCTATGTACGAAATATCCATTTCATCCAAATTGCTTTCATGAAGTCATTCCTTTTGTTTCACTTGGTATTCTAGCTTGGTTTCTGCACAACTTCCTTGATGCGTTGAGAATCTTTGTTCGATTTGGAGAGTGTATATTCATTTTTGGTTACTGAATTTAACAGTTCGACTGTCTGACAACTTTTAGTATATACCGTTGGAAAGGCTACAACGCTTTGGTCATGAGAGCATTTTGTAACACACACACACACACACACACACATGTTTTGAAGAAAAAGAATAATTATTGTCCTTAGAGTTTGCATGTACATGTATACGGAATTCAATTTGCAGACTTTCCTTTTTTAAATTAAAGTATTATCTGAAATATTCTAGATTTAAATTCTCACATGGAACTACTATAACCAGCACGGTTATGCGACCCTTTTGCTAATTTATCAAACAGGGATTTTAGGATAACGTTACATTCTGCTCCAGTGTCTAATTTAAACTTAACTAAAGTGTCATTTATATTTAAAGTGACATATCATTTACTTTCTGTGATATTGGCAGTTTCTACACTTCCTACAAAAAACGAATCTATATCATCATCATCATCTATACCATACGAATGAACCTGTCGTTTCTGATGCCGGTTGTAATTCCTTTTTCGACAAACTTTAGCCCAATAATTAGCTAAACCACAAAACGAACATGTTGATCCAAATGTCTGACATTTATCTGAATAAAGTACAGATCTATATTCCGTTTCGTTTTTTATACTTTCGATGGCCTGTACCACATGAAGATCTGACCGGTTGTACTGGAAGGTCGCGTCAGGAGTAGTACGGGCGGCTTTTGGCCGTATGCCGCCAGACATTGATTTATCAATCAGCGTTGACGTTTCTAGGGGCTTACCCACAGTCCCGTGTGGCGCACGCCAAGAACTTGCCGTAACAGACCGTTTTAGTGGCTAATCCCCCACTTCAACCAGAACACCGGTAATATAATAACTCTTCCAGATCCTAGTCTAGTAAAGACAAGTAAAACGAAATTTTGAGCTATAAAAAACGAAACGAATTAGGATGTGTGTTTTAATCAGATTGGTCTGACATTGGTTCTGTGTGGAATGACTTACACCACAACGATAACATCTGTAGTATTGCTGATAATCGCGTGCTGTATTTGAAATCGGTGATTGTACTGGAACCGTTCATTCTGTTTCGATTTTGACTGGTGATACCGCCTTGATGTTTTTTACCCTTCTAAAAAATTCATGTACGTCTGTACCATGTTCACTTGCCAGTGATTTGGCTTGATTTAAACTACTAGTAATTTCATTAACCCTACAGATTTTAACAGCCGTTTCAAGGGTGGGATCATCTCTTGTAAGGCTATCACAAAGTTCTCCAAACTCACAGATCAGAAAAATACTGATCGAGCGATTCACCTACTTTTTGCGAGCGAATGTTGAAAATATGTCTCTCATACGTTTCATTTAGTTTTGGTGAACAATATTCTTCAAATTTGTCAAGTACCGATATTAATCTTAGTCTATTTTCAGGAGTTTCAAATACAAAACTGTTATAGATTTCTAAGGCCTCTTCACCTATAGTATGAAGTAATGTTGAGGTTTTTACCTTTTCGGTCTTTGATACAATACCGCTTGCATCAAGGTAAATTTCAAATTGACATCTAAATTAACACCATGTAATATGTATCATTCTAAATGACCAACCAACAACCATGTGCGTTGATGATTTTTATTCTCCCAGGTGCATCCCACCCGTGCAACCTCAGGTGTCGTGTATATCTATATACCATCCAGATTACCCAAACTCTAGAGTCACTTGATGAGCAAACGTGATCATGTGCACAATGTAGTCTTGATCATCTGGACACTATATTACTATATTACACCGTGTTCGATCCCAAGAAAGTTAATCGTGATTTTCCGGTGTGGTTCCTCCTTGTCTGTGGTGCTTGGACAGCGTATAGTCGTTCGGGTGTTACGAAAAAAACGAGGTACTATGTACACATTTACCGTGTAAAAGAAACCTTAACAGTTGGAATTCGATATAAGAATAGGCCGTAGTGCCGCTGTTCCCGGGCACAATATCCCCCATAGTACAGGGTATGGCGTATACCAGTTTTCATTAGCCCAGTCGCTGCTGAACAGTAGGACGTTAAGTACTATTTCATTTCATTTCAGACTCTAGTAATGGATGACATTTCACCTTTCTTTTTATATAAAAACAGTTTTATTTTCACAAATAACAATGATGACAAAACAAACAATCAGATAAATTATTTACGATAACAGAATCATAGTATAATAAATAAACCATTGTTATAAGTTATTTAAATACAGTTGTGCAGTATAATATCATCGAAATATAATATAATACCAATACCCAGTGAAATATTATATTGACAGATTGTCGTAATGCCTCATATTACCAGTTCATTCACCATTTCTATATCAGATAGAAATTATATGACCGACTAATTAAAACCAACCAAAATAAATTACATGTAATTGCTATGTTAACTTTTTGAGGTCTTCGCTTATCTCGTGGTTTTGATTAGTCAGCAAGCCATAATTGCTATCTTATGTAGCAATGATTAATGAACAATGCCCGTAACAATTCCTTGATAAATAAGGTGTAATATTATAATACATTGATTTCGTATCTTGTAGAAGGTGGTATGCTTAAAGGAGCTAAATCGCTAATATTTTGGACCTAGAAATTGGCACAAATGGGTAGCAGCACATATAATAATGTAATATGAATTTATATAAACTGTTTTACATTCAATCGTGTCCGTTTTACTGTGAATTGTCATCAGTTATGTTCGGCGAAATAAGCCAGAAGTCTCAACCGCAAGCCAGTTTCTAGCGTCTGGTTATTCCAGTCAACACCGATATTATTTATTGCGCATGCTCCTCAAATAAGAATATGATACCACCGTTTGACATGACTTGTGGAATATGTCTAGCCTCATTCTTTGAGCACCTTGTTACAAATGGCGCTGAAACGCATTATGGTACACGATTCGTGTACCAATGGTAAAATGTTTATTTTGTCTTAAATATTGAATATCAGAAGCCCATCTTTTCCAGGTAAGATCACAACACCAATGCTGATTTAAATTGCAAAAAAAAAATCGTGTTTTCAATGTCGAAGATTTTGGATGATATCGAGTTACGGACTTAGCTACTTTAAATATCGGAACATTAGTAGTAAACTACAACTTATTACATGCATTGAGCTTTAAACAATTGGTGAATAAAAGGTGCGTTCACAAGTGCTGCAGTGCTTGAAGTGCAATATAATTTATGCTTATGTTTTGGTATCATATTGATGTGTTAACGCAATAAAATGTCAAATACTATAGAATTAAAATAATCGATAGTAACTGATTCAGATTAAATATTCTAAACACTATATTTCATAAAAAATAAATAATTAGTCGTAAATATCTACAATTATACACTGTAATAGTTTTAAATAATAGCACTCTTTATGCAAAATAGTTTCTCTTAATTAATCACAACCTGTTCATATTATAAATATTCAAAATTATAATAGAAATATAAAATAAATTTATTTTAGAAAAAATTTAAACGCCCTAAATAAATCTCATTTGTTAGCGTTATGTTTTCTTTTCGGATAAAGAGGTTGTACATTTCATTGAGTAAAGACGAAACTACGAAAAAACAACCGTAGTGATAGTTAAGTCTAATAAAAGTTTAACAACAAAAATACCATTTAGATTAAATTAGATTGGAATTATGATTATATGAAGGATTAAAGAACCTAAATAAAAGTAATTACGCCCTTGATTTAAGTATGTTATCAAAATTAACAAATCAAAATATCATAAGGTTTGCGGAAAAACTACTTTTCACACCACTGAACCATTTTTTGAATGAACAATCAACCGTTAATAATGATTATCTAAACGTGTTGCGGGTTGCATTAACAGTTTCCAATATCAACAAAGAATAACTGTCTATTACATTGTTTCACAAATTCACAAATCACTGCGAACTCCCATGGTGATCAGATGAACCCGACACCATAGCTTCCGTATGCTCACGTGCTCTGCGACGTAGTTCAGCCACACTAGAATTCCTCTGTTCTTGAAATGGAAATACAGATGATGAACAACCAGACCGATTGGTGTTACAACACATACAGAATGGAAAGCAACCTGAAAGTATCAATAGATAAACGTACAGGACACTCGAATATAAATTAGTCAAAAATGCTAACAATTATGAAATACAAAAGGTTATCCACAGGTGCATAATTTGACAAATTCATACAACCACTTTTGTAAAGATTCATTTTAGTGCATGCCCAAATAATTGAGGCACAAGAAATTAAATGAAATGTGGTTTAACGTCCTACTCTTCTGCACCGAATAAGCATAATGCAAAATAAAGACACGTTGTAGCATAATTTCATGACATTTGAAAAACAGAATATTACATGTATCCCACTCAAAAACATCATATATCCGTAAAGAAAAACTGGCAAGTATGTTTAACTAGTGGAAAACATTTCATATCTGTAAAGTTTGCACCACACGAACGCCATGGGAAATAAGAATTGCATCTTAATCTATTGCAAGAACGTTTCTATGTGTTCGAACGTTAGATGTGTACATCGCCACAATTGTATATCATTGTTAATATGTTATATTTGATCACTTTGCGCAGCACTTCAACTCAGAACTGAGACGTGGCATCAAGTATTCCTAAACGAGAAAGTGTTGAGGTCCCGCGTACAGTCGCTACTTGCAGTTCGACACTCGTTTACAGGCAGTTTAAATTATATCATGTGCGGTGTTTGGTTAGGTTCATCTCATATACATGACACTAAGCGTTTAAAGACAACACTTTACAAGATTAATTTGATGAAAATAGTTTACCTTTAAATGCCGGATGTGGTATATGGCGCGAGAAAGTCCGAGATCCAAAATAGGCATCATAACACTGGGACATCGCCGAACTGAAAAAATAAGGATAATTAATTAATTCATCATAAAAATGAATTTATATATTCAGCTTATCAAGAATTCGCTTTATTACTAGGAATCAAAATTCATTCGATCAGTATAATCAAATTAAATGATATAACATGAATAAATGCACCAATATTTGGTAGCCATCTGCATCCAAAAAATAAGACAGTGAAGTGCTAGAATTTTGTTGCTAGTATCAATCATTTGATAGATATGCTGACGAAGCGTGTCATTTCATTTAAACTGGAAGTAATATAAATTCGTAGGCCTACCTATCAAACATGGAGAGAAAAGCTGGTCTGTTTGCCGAGGCTGCCAATAAAGACTGTGAAAATGGTAGATTTCCAGCATTAAACTTGGCAAAGAAATTCATGTCTGTTCCCGCCATGGCCATTGCCGGTATGGAATTCATGAACGATTTCATAATGTGAGGTGACGTTTCTGGTGCAGGGTGTGAAGTGGGTGATTGAACTTGACTCTGTATTTTAACTTCCGGTGATTCAACATGTTTAATATCTTGTGCCTCGTTTTCACTTTCATCTCCAGCTTTATTATCTTCCTCTCTAGATATGTGCGAATCGGGACTGGTGTCTGGTTTAAGATTTTCCTCATTTGTGTCGTTTGATTCATTATAGCTGTCATTATCGGGAATGCTATTACCATCCGATGATAAACCTTCGCCATTTAACGGACTTTTACGATCTCGTTCTGAATCACTGCTTGATTCGTTATTTGTCGTTACTTCCGCTGATCTGAAATCTTGTAAATCATCTGATTGATCACCATCAACCATTATCTCGTTCTGTTCATCTGATCTGTTCCCTTCACAGTCCGAATCTTGGCCATTGCGCGAAACATCGTCGTCACCTTGTGGTACAGGACCAGTTTGTGTTTGGGTAAATCGTTCACTCTTTCGCCATTTTGCTCTTCGGTTTTGAAACCAAACCTATAACCCAGAAAAAAATTGAATGCATTTATTTTTTTTGTAATACTAGTATACTATAAGCTTTAGTGTTTGAACCACCCCAAAACGGCGACAACAAATTATGTTATCTAAACTAAAATGTTTCGCGTTAGTAAGGAATTTCCTATATGTTATCAGCGGAGTAGTCTTCTTTTATGAATAAAAGAAACAAAATCTATGACATCAGAAACATATTTTTCTCGGTTACATTTTCTTGTAAGGGTGGCTTTGAGATGGGGTTGTTATTGGGGGGGGGGGGCTGATGATTTAAGCATTATATTAAGCAATTAACGCCACTCACCTGAACTCTGGCTTCTGTAAGATTAATTCTCATAGCTAAATCTTCTCTCATGAAAACGTCAGGGTAATGAGTCTGGGCAAATGCTTTTTCCAGTTCTTCTAACTAATCATTTAAAAAAAGAAAAAGAAATATATAATATAGTCTAGTTGAAGCAATTTAATATAATTGTTTTATAAGAAACCACATGCAGACCACAAAAGTTGTGGGTTCGAGTCTCAGGTTTGTATGTGGCAGGAGAGGGTCGACTCTTAAATCTCATGGCTTGCTTCCGTGTTTGAATTTGAATGTTCGCTTGTACATATATCAATTGTTAATAAACAACAAAGAATGGCTATAATAATATACTAACGTTTTCCGTTTATGTCTATTAGCATAATCATTGTATTGTTACTTCCTACATTTCTTTAAGGGAATTTCAAAATAATAAGGATTGATTTTTATTTATTTTTTAAATTATCAATTTAGAAATGATAAATAGGGTATTACAACTGGCATCGGGAAATTATTGTGATTTGAATAGAAAACTGAATTAATATATAGATAGTCATAATGACGTTCATCGTGAACTTGACGTAATTAAACTTAACGTTTCCTTTTATAGGAGATTAACAACTGAAATCCCTCTTACACGATTTTGGTACAAATGTATCTTAATCTAGCGATAGTTCCGTGATTCGAGAATCGAAAACGATACGAACAGCTGTTGAATAGTGTCCGAAATAATATAGTGAAAAGCTTAATATTTAAGATGTTATAAAGCGTAAACATCAAATTAAAGTCGATTAAATAGGTTTAATTCAATAAATACAAATTTGTATCGTGAGTAATTAACAATGGCCTTGAATACAACTGTACAACTTGTTCTAATTTTACGAGCACCTGCAAATGAGTCCAAGTATTTGCCATGTACATTAACGCCTATTTTTTATAAACAATTTTATGACATGTGTAAATTGCTTTTGCATAGTTTAATTCGTGATCTAATTTAAAAAAAATAACACTAAATTAATACTGATTTTTAATGCCAAAATCTTGAATAAAGGATTAGGAAGAATAATAAACAACAGTCATGTATAGTTGTGGATTTTTTGTTTGAGTACATGTACATGTTGAACGGATAAAAGTTAGAAAAAATTGTTAATCGAAAATATTGTTTTGTAATGTTACTTTTTTTTTACTTTTCTTTACTTTTCAAAATGCATGTAAAACTTAATTTCGTTGAAAATATATTTTCTTTCTGCCTTCGGCGGAATATGAATAATTATTTAAATGCTTCCTATAACTTGTTTTGATCGGTGGATATTTTATATGTTAGCGTACTTTAATTATGAACATATATAAAATTATTCATTTAGATAAAATCTCTAGTACAGCATAATTAATTCATAAAATTATCCACAGTTTCATTTCTTCCAACATGTGAAGTAAATAAATCTGTGTCGTGATTTAGATATTCTTAGTCCTATATCCATCATGAATATATTTAATGTCTAAATAATATTAAAATAGATAAATACGTGTTTCTACTCCTCATTGTGTATGGATTTAATTCAACCAATGTTCAAAGTACCCTTTGATATCAGATTAAACATCAAACACAACGTGTGGTTGTAAAATCAAATGCAGGTATGCCTATGTAAGGAGAAGTGTTATGAACCTCACCTGTTGTAAAGTGAAAGTAGTTCGGTTTCGTCTCTGTTTTCTACGTGCAAATGAATCATCCCCTAAATCCCCGTGTAATCCATAACTACCATCTGAAATATAGAAGTAAATTCCATAAAATAAGATTTTAATTATACATGTAAAATAATTGTTTATGTATTTTTTTTGATGACAGATTTCATAAAGTTTTACCTAATAAAAAATATCTTAGTGTTGACTAGAGAATATTATGAGTTATTAAATCATCGATCCCAAGGGGCAATCGAAATTCATAAAACCATAGACATAAAATGAAAAGTCAGTGCAATAGTGCACGAACTTTAAAACTTGCAATTCTAGATGCGCAAAGTAATCATTAAGTTGTAACATGGATATGTCAGTGGAAAAAAACCCAGAAAGCTAAATATCTAGGACCCTATTTGTAAAACTCTCGATATAAACAAACTAAACAATCCAATTCAACGCAGACCCAGATCTAGTTTGTATCGTATATTGTATTGTCTGTTTTTTTTATTAATAATATAGCGGCGGGGGTGGGGCGGTATATTTTGGAACGAGTACGTTAAATTCTAAATTTTATTTTACTAAATGTGCTATATGGAGATTTGGTTTATAGATACATTGATTGTATCTAGCCGCGATACAAAAGCAAAATGGCATGATTCAGATTTTCTTCAAGCTAATAAAAACCTATTACTTTTAAAAACCCATCTTTGCTACAATAATGTTATTTCATTGATTACATTTTATTAATAAGTTTAAGCTAATTAAGTTGTCATTATCCTATTACTCGTGTTTACACTTCTTTATTCCACGAGCTCTTCATCATTGTTTTCACACACACACACACACACACACACAAAGGCTTCATTCATCTATCACCTCAGGGATTTAACATCTACAGACTCGGATACCCGGGTACAAATTAGCACTAAATCGTGTCTAAAATTTAAGCCTCGCATTTTGTATTCATTGTAGATAATATTTCATTATGTGAATAGAATAATTTCATTCATTCTTAGTATATGACTAATACATTTTTCAAACATAATGTAATTTAGAATTAACACTATGATTAATAGACAGTAGACAGTACAATGGGTTGCACTGGATAATGGGGTCTAGCATATGCATTCAAGTACTTTTGGAGTTGTCATGTTGTATTTGACGTGAATTGTTGATATCATACATTATTTCAACTTTACTACGATCTCATTTTAACGCTTTTAAACCCCATATTTAATCATAGTATATACACAGCACCAGGGTTGTTTTAAAATTGTCTATTTGAATGTGTTTATTGCATTAGTTTATTCTTTGCATGGCTTGTTTATTTTATGTAAGTTGGAAGATTGGGATATCACGCCTATCTAATAGTCAAATCCATGTCTTGATGATCGTGACTTCTTGTGTCATTCCTCAATTCATATAATTAATCTGTTTATTTTCAAAACCCAAATAATGGAGTTTACAATGGCGGTTTTCGATGTTTTGTTCAAATCTCATTATCACTTATTTTTAACATTTTCGTAAATCAGCGATTTCAGTTACTGATCAATGTTCCTACGGCTGCAGAGATATGATAATAAGAAACTGTCTGCACGATGATGAATCTATAATAAGATTAGTCCGCAGTAATTGAAGAGGAAACATAAAACTCTGAGCAAATCAAGTCCTTATTTTTTCCTCTCTTGTGTAAAACCGATCAGAAGCAATTATAGGTTTACAGTAAGATGATAATGAGAGTAGAAGAGCCCTGTGATGTGATTTGCGACTAAATCATTAAATAAACAAAACGGACAACCATTGAACCTAAGTACACGGGTATTTTCCTTTTGATCTGAAATGTCAGTACGCCTACTTCGTCTATCTTTGATATACTTTACCTTATAAAGGCACGTAGATTAGAGCCAACTTAATTACCATATTAGGCACTATTTATTTAGCTTAGGATGCCAATAAGAACAAAATACATAGATTTTCGTCTTTAAGAAAGTGGTTCCGTCTGGCCTAAAATGTAGTTCATTGTCAAGATGAGTATATCAACTCAACCATTTCCTATTTGTTTAGTTTCCTGTCGATGCCAAATAAGTATGTTTCGAAAAGTTAATAAAAATAATTGCAGAGTGTGTTGAAAAAATGCCCACCAATACTGTATTTTAACGTGTAAACGTTCATTATTCTATAATTATGTCCTGTTAATAGAAGAAAAACACATCCAGCTACACCAAGTACACAGTATCATGAGAACACATCAATTTAGAAACAAAAAAAAACTTTAATCAAACGTAAGCTTTAAAAACTACTGTCCTATGTTCCCGAAATATTTGAGAAAAACGCGGATGTGAATTATTTTATATAATATGGCAAATATTATACACCATCCGTGTAACTAAATTCACTATGACACAATATTAAACGCACTTTATAATATACGTATGCCTAGAATGTGGTGATCTTAATTAACCAACAAATCTTTATTGTGCGTCGTATGTTGCATCTGGAGACCCTATATATAATAACTTGTAACGATTTACTGTACTTAAATATGATCTGAGGAGAACTTGTTGATCAGGTAAATGTGATCGTTATTATATTTGTTTGATATAAATACCTCAAACAACTGGTTAATATTTACCATATTTTGATAAGAAGACTCGTCATTAGCCAGTAAATGCGGTGGATGTACGTGGAGACGAGCCAGTACGTTTATAATGGCTCTACGTAAATATTAGTAAATGTGTAATATGCATATGTACTGATGAGAAGATCGTAATTAATCAGCAATATTGTTCACTGTCTTTGTATGTTAAATACTAAATCGTTAATATACTTACAGGTTGGGTGTGGTTGACAGAATTCCATGGTTAATGGTCTGGCACCAGGGTGTAAAGATGGAGGACAGTGAAAACAGAACATCTTCTCTTTTAACTGAATAAAAAAAAATAACCATTATAATTATGTGGAATTATAATTATGACTTTGCTATTAACGCATAATATACTAGAACGGATTTGAGTAAGGTATTAAAGTTAATAACCCGTAAATACAAATTATTAAATATAGTATAATGTTGGTATGTATTCGTGCCAGTATTTATCTACCAAGTAGTGTTAGTGCTTACTAACAATGACTAAATTCTCGTTTTCCAAACTAATTACACGCATCATGTTCTTTAAACCTATATCCCTGTATAAGTTTTGTTGAAGAATATGGTTCAGTAACCCTATTCTTAATATTCAAATAGTTGGTCTCTCTATATTATAATTGTGAGTAAGTCAGACAAGTAAAATTGGAGGCGGCTGTATATGGTAATTTTAATTATCTTGAATTATCAAGTAAAAACACTTACAAAATATATATTAAATATCTTCATAAATTGGCATAATGGTTAAAAAATATAGTATAGAAGATACCTACTACGGACATGTTATTGCCCCAACCACGACGATCGACATATAAAAAATATTATCATTGCGAAATAATGTCTTGTGTTATATAAATTGTAATACAACAACAAAAGAAGTACACAAGGAAGGAATGATTTTAATACCTAGAGCACGTACAGCTCGCTTCAATTAACAAATCAATGTAGTGAGTGCTAGTGGATTTATATATAAATAAAAAGTGTGTGATTTTGATTACACAATCGTATGAATGGGGTTAAATGTCTTGTCTATATGATGTTAAGTAATAGTATAAAGTGGTTGAAACATGCAAACTACTTTTAGAACGTCCCCGTGATTTTTAGTGAACTTTGTTTTGTCAAATTGCGGTCAGTAAAGACTGATTCCGGTTACAAACGAACTGTCCGAGACACTAGCATCGTGAGGTCAAATATTTCAGACATATGACAAGGAAGTACCAACAGTGCGGTAATACAATATACACAGATAGTAATTCTACCTTGAATTTTAGAGTACAAGTGCTTTCAGATATTACACAGAGATAAAGCATATCCCATCGTGGACAACAACTATCATTTTAACTCAATGTACTTATTTTTCAGCAAATGTTTCATTAGGTCCTATGAAGCTTGATACATTTTAATAATCAATCTTTAGTGTCATAAACATGATAACTATGTAGTGCTAGATTGGTTAAATTTAAAATGTTCTGACACTCAACAGGTATGTTGTATAAACTTTATAGGTATACAATTATTGTGTAATTTATGAAAGCTATGTTTACTAGCACTTTCGAAATAGGAAAATGACGATGATATCATGGACCTTATATAAGGTCCATGATGATATCAATACCTTAATGAGCAAGAGACACATCCCGTCTCGTGGACGACACCCGACACTAAAATGGCATTATAAAAGCAACGATAGTCTCAAAATCAAAAGATTAATCAGGAAAATATATACTTACGTCCATTTTAAAAATTGTAATATCTCCGTACAAATTTTAAATCTTGGTCAATATTAATATTCGTATTAATTAAACCCGATTTCCCAGATTATTCAATTATCGCACTAATATGATTTTCCAGATCTTACAATGTCTTTTATGTTATTTTAAACTTTTAGGAAAACTATAAGTACTGCCGAAGATGTCAAACTCAGAAAAAGTTTTTGTGAGAACTACACCACGTTTCAAATTAGCGTCTCTCAATTGACTATCGACATTGACAAGTTTTGTTAGACTTTATGCATTTGGACCTGTTCAGTAATCCAAAATGCTATCGAATGTTGAAGTCAGTTCATCCACGATCCATGAGGAGTTTCAAACTATTTGGTGATCTACACTGTTGTAAGTTGCAATTTGGTTTCTACACAGAGAACACCGGCACAATTGGTGTTTACTGACTATTTTGAAAAGAATTATCCCCACATCCAAGATATTATAGTCCAACTAAGATCAACCAAGTTCGACAGGATGTATAATACTATAGTTACGCCCCCGGATACTTTGAGCAATAGCTCGGTAAAGTAGGCTTATAAACTTTAAAGGAAAAATCAGAGTATTAAAATTTTCCATTAGCGATTATAATAATATAATTGCTCATTTAATACCTAATTTATAATTTATTTAATTTTTCTAATGTAACGGTTATGCAATTTAAATTGTATTTAAAGCAATCTATCATAAACCTAAATAATCCATCGAAAAAACAATCTTTCTCTTAATCGTGACACGTACCATTTACATGTACATGACAATTAGATATGCAGAGCGGAATAAATCTAGTCTTTCGTTGGCTCAGTTAATCTTTAGCTATGTATAATCGTAAAATTGACCAGATCTTTCCAATTACATTTTTGCTATATTAAATCACATTTGGAACCGTAATAATATAATTTATAACCACTAAATTACACATACTTTAAAGCTCCCGGTGGGTCGGAATGCATTGAAAATTGATTTCATAATTTTTGACTGCCACAATAACTCGGCCTGCGTTCACTGCGAGAAACTAAATATTATAATGCGTGAGAGTCCAATAGAAGTGGCCTTATGAATAAATTATGGTGGGTTACATCAGACAGATCATCATATGGTTTAATACAAATAGTATATACTTTTTGTAGATATATTTATCCATACAACACAATGGGCGTTTTCTTTAGGCCATCTCCAGTAGTGGAGATAGCAGAAGACCTTGACATCATAATTACTTTCCATGTGTGTTTTTGGTGTATTAGATGCTTTACGCATGCAGGTGTTAACGAAATTGTGGGTGATTCTCCAATGAAATTTAAACAATTTCCGGCCAAAAAACGGTATATAATTGCATAAATATTAGTAAGGAGGGCTTGATTTGAATGCCACTTGAATCGGCATACATCTGTTCGATGAAATATGCTTATTAGTTTTAAATCATGTTTATTAAAATGTTCACGAGCTCATTACGTGACGGCGGGATTTATCCGTTGACTGCAGTTTTTTTTTTATTTTAATAATGCACAACACTATTATTGATGGCGAATACACCGCACCGGGAAACCTGCCTAAAAGACATGTAGATTTTATCTTCTTATTATTTTATTATTAAATGATGGACTTTTCCGTTTATGCATCGGACCCGATAACAAATTTTACAGACTAAACATTTAATGAAGATTGTCGGATGTATATATATTTGGAGGTAGTTAATTTTGATTTGAACTTGTGTCCACATATTATATAATAGTCATCATACAGATTCAAGTTGCTGGTGTATTGCTACTTATTATCCTTCTCACTTTAAGATGATTATTCATCTGTATATTCTAACCCAAAAAAGAGCAGCTACTTTTATAAATTTCCAAGTGTCCCCATTGCGCTGCTACCCTTAATTAACGAATACGTTATCAGTACTAGCAGATATAAAAAATGTTAAAAAGTGCAAGTGTTATTTATTCTGTTTCGCAAAATTAACTATTCGTCGTGTTTCTAACTTTTCCAATTGACCATTACTAGAACTAATTCCTCCAAGAACACAATCTTTAATTTAAATGTGGCATCTAGAAAGTTTTAAACGACTGTTTCTTGTAGCCGTTATCGTTAAAATATTTGGACCACTACCTTTAAGAAGATGAAAAACATATTTTCCATTATGACAAATATGAAATAGAAAAACTCTTTACGAATATTTTCGTAAGATGATAAGTCGTTTTACATTTAAACTATTTTTTTGCGGAACACTTGACTCTTTAAAATGATGAAACTATCTCAGAATCTTTGTGACCCTGGACTCCAATATTTGTTTTAAAATAATGTTGCAGTACAATACACGCAGATTAGATGCGGAACACGTTTTGCCAACTCTAAAACTAGCCCTACACCGCTATCTAATGTATATAGCGATAGATATAAATTACTAACAAATTAAAAACTGTACCAATAATAGAAATGCCTTAAGATTTGCAGTAAACAAATTACTAAAATATGAATAAAAGACATTAATAATTTTGTCTGCCTTCACGAATTAAGTGATCCTTAGATCTAAATACATACTTAAATAAAACAACAATAAAGCTTTCGATATAATAACAGGCTAGTTCTAACACCTGCGTATCATGACGTTTTAATCCGTAGAATTATTTCAATATTCAAAACTTCGAGTTAAATAGTATTATTTATTAATACAATAACTATCCAATCGAGTGCTTGCTAAGTCGACTTAGACAATTAGTAAATTAAAAGTATGTTAGCTTAATATATCAGATGGTGGAAGCTTTTATGTCGTATTAAGCAGAATTTTAATTTTAGAAAATATAATACAATTCATTGAGAGATGTGGGTTGTTTTCTCTTAACAGAGTATAACACTATTACCGATTGGTATTAAGTTTTTGACATTATTGAAATTGTATGTAAATAATTCATACTGAATACTGAAAATATTTAGAGCAAGTTCTTAATCTGTTAAACATGTAATATATGGATATTCAGCATACGTCCATAATAATCTTTGTTGTATTTTGTAAAATAAAAAAATTACTAGTATAATATGTTCCTCTCTAATAAATATTAACTTTAATTCCGTGTAAGTGCAGGAGAGTCGCAACGCACAAGTTAGCAGCTAAAACCCCAAAGGAAAAACACAGGGACACAACAAAACACTGACATCGTAAGGCATAAAGGAACTAACAATTCAAGTGAATTACTCTGGGTGGAGGCGAGAGGCGATCTTAATTTGTGTTATTTAAATGCGTTTGCAATGAAATGCCATCCTACTCTATTATCAATGCTTTGAAATGGTATAGACATTTAAATGTAGTCACATGGTAATTCTTGTGAAAATAAAACATAAAATGGAAATCGTATTAATTAACAGTAGTATAACACAATGTAAACTATTGTACATCAGTATAACATGATGTAACATAGTTTACTATAATAGTAATATGATGTACCGCAATATGGCATAATGTACAGCAATATAACATAATCTACAGCGATATAACATAATGTAATATCATGTATAGCAATATAACATAA